ATCTCGGGTCCTTCTCGGACTCCAGTTCGGACTCCACTCGGGTCCATCTCGGGTCCATCTCGAACACTTCCCCGTGTCATGTGTTGATCCTTTTGGGTCCCTTTTTGGAGCCTCGCTTATTGCTCGCCTTGTGCTCATTCCTTGAGCACTTCGTTAGGAGTTCCACTCCCGCTCTCGACCTTTCAAGTCAGAGCTTTTGGCCCAAACGTGTTACACTCGTTTGGCTTTCGCTTCGGCCACTACCACGTGGCACCCTTCCGGCTCCACTTTGGGGCCTAGGGATTTTGTGTCTCACAGGTGAAGCTTAAAATGGATGACTTTGCTCTGGATATGTTTCTCATTAGCTATTTATGAAAAATGTCTAGATCTGCTAATCTATAGAATATGGAAATTATCTTGAATATGATGGAGTTGTTCCCACATTCAATTTTGCAATCTAGTGCCACTCCATATTTAGTAAATTTTCGTGATTAGTGTAGAGAACTTAGTGAAATTGTTATGTTGTAAGCAACTAATTTTTCCATTCTACTTTAGTCACTTAATCACACCTCTAACCACTTGAAAAAGTCTCATTCACAACCTCCATAAGTCCAATTCAGGACTTGGGGCTTGCTAGCCCCGAGAATGGCATCCATGCCACTCAACTTTTGCACTTGGTCCAAGTGCTCCATGTGTTCAATCCCATAACCAACACTCCAAGGTACCACTGACATATCAGCCTGTTACGCTAAAGCTATGCCCATTCACCTTGTTCACACCGGTGGTTTAACACCACCTGCATCACAGTCTCGTCTCTCAAAGACTAGGCCATCCGTCCATGAGTGATCATCCCAAATCCACTCCTTAGCATCCTTAGGATGCCCACAAACATGGGGAATAGCTTTCCTCAATATCTCTTTTTCAGTCCCCACCAAGTCCCTTTCTGTCCATAGTTGTGTTTGTCAACATTACCACTAGATCAAGGCCCATAGGCCTGACCACTAAGTCCCCTTGTTCTCTAGGACTTCCTTGTCATGTGACCGCATCCTTGGTCACTACACCAGAGGACTACTCCTCTTCCTTTTCACCATCCGAGATTCTAAAACAACATTTCAGAACACTGCGGCCTTACGCAAGCCTCGTGGGTACTCTCCTCGCCTTCTACCTTTGGGTGCTCTAGCCATGGGCTTAGAGTGAGGTTCTAATGAGCCACACTAGGTATCCAAGTAGGTAGTGCTACCCATGCTTGGACTGGGAGCATTGACTATTCGATCTCCCGAGGGAACTAGAGCCTGCTCTTGAACACTTCACCAAGCTACTTTACTTATCAATCCATATTCACTCTAATCTTGGACTTCCTAGTGGTCAACTCATCACCCAACACCTAGGTATACCAAATTGGCCTTTCCTGGCCAAACTAGCTCCACTGGGCTCCAACCCACACTCTCCCTACTATACCTTTGGAAC